GCCGGAGCCGGCCTGGGCCAGCCCCGGGCGGGCGCAGTGCTGACCGCGCGCCCCAGGCTCCACCCACGTCCCCCGGGCCGAGGTCGCGGGAAGGGATTAGCACTTTTTTCCTTTGCTCCTCTCCTGCCCCGAGGGCCCCCAGCTCATCCCTAAGCTCAGAGCCTGGCGCCCCTGATGCGGCCGCCGGCTTGTCCACCCAGCCCGGTCCCTGCCCGCTCCCCTTTGTCTGCCGTGGACGCGCCATCCGCCCTCAATCCCCAGGCCTGGGGCCGGGCCTCGGCCTGCGTGGCCCTTCCCCGCGGCGGCGCCAGGCCCTGTGGGGCGGGGAAGGGCCGGCGATCTCCCAGGCAGGTCCGAGAGGGGTGTGTGTAGATTGATTCTCCCGTGGAGAACAGGTGGCCCCGCCATTAGGCCCTTTTTTTGCTCTTTGTATTTTATTTTGAAACTGTATTTAATGCTTTTATATGAAAGAGGGAGGGGCGGGCGAGCTGACCCGATCACCCTTATGTGCAAATGTCTTATTTATTATGCGTGTATCAGAGATAAGCTGTGAGGTGATGGAGGAAGAACCGAGGCGGGAAGGGACGCAGGAGCCCGGCCGCGCCCTGGTTAATGCAGCCCCCTCTGCCTGCTGTCCCTGGGCCCCAGCCTGCGGCCTTTGCAGAGCAAGGCAAGTGCAGGGACAGTAGGTGGGACGTGAGGCTGGCTTTGGAGGCCAGGGCGCAGGCCCCTGGCACAGCAGCTCCCTGGGCGGGTGGGAGCACAGACGGCCAGGAGGAAGCCCCCTCCCTTCCGTACCCTCCCAGGCCAGAGCCCAAGGTTCAAGTGCCTCAGGCCCAGTCCCCTAGACGCTTCCTGATTGGAAGTTGGATTTTATACACGGATTTTATAGCGTTTTTATATAATTCAAGATTGTCAGAGTCGGAAGGGACCCTGGAGAATATTAGTTCCACCCCACCTGCACCCCGGCCGCGCAGAGGCGGGTCGGAGCCCAGAGGGTGACATGGTCTCACGGCCAGGTAGGATCAGAACTAGAAGATCGCTCCCAGCTGGGTGTGGGCCGCACCACGCCACTCTCCTGGTTTAGCCTGCAGAGAGAGTGCCTGCTGGGCACTGTGGGTCTGTCACAGGGCAGCCGGGGCTCCTGGGGTGGCAGAGCCCCACGCAGGCCTCGCGGGAAAGGTGCGGGCTGCTGCCTGCCCCACTGGACGCCAGGCGAGGCTGTGTTGTGATGAGGCCACCAGGGATTTGGGAAGACACCGAGTGGACTTACAGTGGACCGAGCTGCCAGTGAGCGCGGGCCTCTGGGTTTCTGAGACAGTATTAAAGTGTCAGAACAGAGATTACGGCACTACCATTTTTTCCTTTCCTTCATCGCACGTTGTTTTCAGACTCAGAACAAGTGTTTTACCTTTTCCTGCTCTCTCCGCTCAAAAACAGTAGGCAAACTGGGGCAACCGATTGTACTCACTGCCGAAGTTCAGGTAAGCCAGGGCAGAGAACAGGTTAGGGATGGTTCCCCGCCAGGAAGGGGCCTTTGGACAGGAGCGTGGCCCAGAGCACTCCAGCGGCTTGCAAAGTGGCCCCCAGGTCCGCGGCAGCAGTTTTGGAACTTACTGGAAACACAAACCCCTGGTCCTCCCGCCAGGCTTAGAGAACTGGGGTGGGGACCAGCCTCTCGAGCCTGCTGCAGCTCAAGTCTTCAACGCCCATGACAGGGCAGGTGTCAAGGGCCAGTTTCCTGCTTGGACTGAAGCTATGGCCTCACGGGTTGGGGGTTAGGTGGTCCTCATCCCTAGGTGTGCCTCCTTCTTGCCTTGGGATTCTGACAGAACAGGTGAAGTTTCTTCATTTTTTTGTTGTTGCTAATGGTATGCCTGCTATTATGACCCATATGTAAATGTTACTCTCAATACATATTTATACTCCATGTTACTTAGTGACATTATTCCAGCATTTGTATACGTATTTGTGAAGTTGTTTGCATCAGTCATTTAAAAAAAGATTTCAGCCTGAGTTTTCTGAGAGGTATGTTGCACACATTTTTAAATCCCAGCCTAAGGGTCACAGAGGCCTTAGCCTGGGGCAGACAAGATGTCTCCGCAGAGACCTGAGTATTTCCTTTCCATCTGCCATGGCGACTACACCTTCGACTGCAGTGCTTGGCGGCTGATGCAGACGCTGCTCCATGGTGCCCGTGGGGGACCCCGGCCCCTCAGCCCTTCCACTCCTCCTCATCTCTCCTGTGGTTACCTCTTAGAAGGGTTCTTGTTTTCTTTCAGAAACCAAATGCACAGCTCTACCGTGGGAATTCTGCAATCTTGGGAATCCTTCTAAGTTGTGTGTTAAAGCCCCCAAGTGGAGTAAGGATGGAGGGAGTGGAAGCCATGTTTGGTTCTTTATCCAAACTGTGTATAAAGAATAAAGCTAGCAGAATGACACCATGATCACTGTTTTTTCTTTATTAATATCACATCAATTTGCAGTTTTACAGGAACCAAGAGTCAAGCTCCGTAGGTGCTACTGTATTCGTATGTCGCACGCACAGACACGCACAGTTTCATTAGTAATGTTTTCATCTATAGGTTTTTCTTTAAAAAAAAAAATCCTGCGTGGCACAAAGATCTCTCCAATTATCTAAAGACAGCAGCAACAGAAGACAAGCTGGGTCTGGAGGCGTCCAGTGCAGAGGTCCTTTGGGGGGGGCCCAAAAGACAATCAGTGCATCGACTTCCTGGGAGGCAGAGGATGACGGAGTGCATCTCCCACTGCGATGTGAAATCAAACAATCACAAGGAGAGGGGACTGAGAAAAGAAAGTGGAGTAAGGCAAGGGTACCTCTCACCCATCTAAATTCCTAAGCAAATTTCCCCAAAAACTGTAGACAAGACAGCTTCCTGCCACCATCGCACATGGCAGCCCTTACTTGGTTGGAAGTTCTCAGTGCCCCTGCGTGGCCGTGACTGAAGGGGCTCGCGGATGACTTTTCTTTCGGATGACTTTTCTTTCAAGTTCACAGATGTCTCATGGGGAAGGGGAGGAAGAAACTTAGTCTCAAAGTGGAGCCAAACCTTCCTAGTTGCCCTGCACCTGATGTTCCTTCCATGCGCACAGCCCCGCAACACGCGCTACCCCCTGCCTGGTCACCTTCACCTAGAACTTCCTGGAAAACTCCCCGCAGGGACACCCTGGGCCAGGGCAGAGCTGAGGCACTTTGTGCCTGCAAATGGAAAGAACCCTCAAAACACAGACCCATAAAGCCAGCACAAAGCACTTACAACTCCCTAAGACCATGAACTGCACTTCCCTACACTGATCTGTGGTCACGTGGCACGGCTTGGCTTTGGTCCTCAGGCGAAACTGATGAACACAGGTTAAAGATGCAGCACGTGATGAAGCAAGTCACAAGGGAAACACAAAGAAACAAGGTTGTTTGTGTCTCTGTAGGTCACCTTGTGAGGCCATTCCCCCCACGGACTGAGACAGGGTCACAATAACTCGGTAACTGGGGAGCCCACATGCAGGTTATTTTTTCTCTAACAAGTTTACAGCAGTGTACAGCAGTTACAGACATTTATTTCATAATAAGAAAAGTACAACCATATTTATTAAAGAGGGGAGGTGGGCAGGGAAGAGGGGAGCACACCCAGGAATGAGTTCTCACATCACTGCCCAGAACTGGCGACACGCAGACACCCCTCCCAGACGGCGGAGCCCTCCTGCCCCTAGGACAAGTCTACTTTCCACTTCCACTCTGGGAATCAGGAATTCTCGCGAGCCCGTTAGGTTATCCAGAGTTGGAAGCTGTTCCATTAAGCGAAGAAGAGGACTGTTAGCAATAGCTGCTCACTTTGGAGGGCGGGAGGATGGGATCGCAGGGCTCTGGGGAACCCCAGGGAAGGCATCCCACTCCTGTCCTCAGATAGCTTCTTCATGTGTTAATCATTGCTTCTTAACTTAAAAACAAGGGCAGAGCTACAGCGGAGCTGCAGGAGTCGCTCGGTCCTTCGCCCCGCCTTCACTGCCCACCTGTCCCCTGCCGAGCTGCAGGGCAACGGTCCTCCACCACTAAGGTACTGATCCATCCCACTAATCTGAGTCTTTCCTTATTCCTCTAAGATATCAGTTCTTCTAGTCCAACATTTCTTGTGCTTGATACTAAGGGCAAAGGGAAGGGAAGGGAGAAAACACCAAATTAAAAAACAAAGCTTGGAATGCAGGCTCACGCTGGCACTGAGCACGCGCCTTCACAAGTCAGGACGTTATAACTAGGAAGTGGGGTTTAGTAACTGTTGCATTTCTGGCTTCCACGTGCTTATTCTGCCTTTTTCTTGGCAATTCCGGGGAGCTTTGCTTGGATCCTATTGAGAAAAGAAAAGTACAACGGAAGTGAAAAATTTGTCCCAAGTTTCAGTTTCAACAGAGGTGCTAGAAGAGGTGCGGGCTCCGTGGGGAAGTCTCCTGTCTTCACAGGGAGCAGGGTGTGAGTGGCGGCCGAGTCTGGCGTAGGGCGAGCTTGGGGTGGGAGGAAGGTCTGGAAAGATCCACCCCACCCCTGTCCCTTTCACACCAGGGGTCCGCAGAAAAATGTGGGGACTTGAACACAGTGTTCCATGTCCACAGGTCACCCTCTGGTGCTGGCGAGGAACCAGAAGTCAGGGTCAAGGAGACAGGTGAGGAGGCCATGGGTCCTGGTTTTGGGTGCTCCCAACTGCAGGAGCTGCCCCCCGCCCCTGGCAGGGTACCAAAGCTGCCCATTGCTCTGGCGAAGGTGTCACTCCGGTCACCCGCTGCTAAGGTCACAAGTATCACACCCGCGGCAGAGGACCCACGGCAGCTGACCCTGGCGACCAAACCATCACGCCCCAACCACCTCTTACAAACCAAACCACCAGATGGGGACTGGTGCTGCAGCCAGCCTGGCGTTAGCACCAGTGCAGTCTGGCATCAAGTCAGACTTCTCTGGATGCACAGTTTCCTCCTGAAAAGTTGTGAAAGTAACTTAGGGCACAGAGAGGTTTTAACTCTTTGTGACTCTGTTTCTTACTATCTGAAGAAAACAGAAAAATGTTAGCATTTTAATTTGAAGTGTTGGGTTCACATTTATTTGTTGTGAATAATTTAAGACAAAAAGGATACTCCTCGATGTAAGCAGTCACGGAGGTGGGGAAACCACCAGCTGTTCAAAAAGGCAGCGTGGTCTTCATTCCACTGCTCCTTTGTAATCTGAGACACAGCATGTTTTTTAAAGTGGTGAAAATAATTTCTTACTAAATCAAGCTATTAACCAAGGTTTTCTTCAGGGTGAAGGTACCTTTCTTTGTAAGCAGCATTTTATACAGAGGACTATGCACCACTGAAGAACAAAGCACAATGGCGATGACATGAGATCCCTAAACGTACTCACTTGTCAACGATCGACTTGGTCTGGTCCCGAGCGATGCCGACATAGTGATCGATCTGGGTCTGTAAGGAGAAGAGCAGAGTCAGTCGTGGCAACACAGAGGTGAGCAATTTTCCTGAAGGCACTGTTGTTCCCTAGTTTAACCACTCTTTAAATACTACTGCGTATGCTGGGAGGGGAGAATGATGCCCAGAAATTTAAAAATTTCTCGTTTCAGGGGCTGAAGTTGTCTGTGTCCCATATCAGAGGGCCTGGGTTTTTTGGGTAAAGCCAACAACTGCGATGCTGGCATGAATCCCAGCTGCTCCGTTTCTGATCCAGCTCCCTGCTGATATGCTTGGGAAAGCAGCAGAAGATGGGCCAAGTACTTGAGCCCCTGTACCCATGTGGGAGACCCAGATGAAGCTCCTGGATCCTGTCTGAGTGGCTGAGCCAGGCCACTGCAGCCATTTAGGGAGTGAACCAGTGGGTGGAGGATCTCTTTGTCTTTCCTGCTCTCTGTAACTCTTTCAAATGAATGAATGAATGAATGAATGAATAAAATAAATAAGTCTTTAGAACACAGAGTGCCTGGGTTTAATGTCTGGCTCTGGGTCTGGCCTCTAGCGTTCCTGTGCACGCAGACTGTGAGGCAGTGGTGATGGCTCAGGTGGAGGGATCCCACCACCAACGTGGGCTACCTGGATTGAGTTCCCTGCTCCTGGTTTCAGCCCTGCCCAACCCTGGCCACTGGGGTAATACAGGGCATAGGATGGTCATCAGATGGAAGCACTTTCTCAAAAAAAAATAAGCAAACAACAAAGAAAAAAACTTTTTGGTTTCAGACTTGAAATTATGCCACATTTTGCTGAAGTAAAAATCACTTATCTCATGCAGAGGTAAGACACTGGTGTAGACCATTTTCTATATACAAGAAACTGTAAATCTAATCTACATTCTGTAATCATACATGTTTTACTACCCCATGGGTAAGGCAAATACATTTTAACATCAAAAAGCCAAAAATAAGGGCCAAAGTTGTAGTGTAACATAGGTCAGGCTGCTGCTTGTGATGTCTGCACCCCACAGAGCGCCAGGAGCCCCAGCTGCTGTGCTGTTGATCCAGCTTCCTGCTAAAGCCCCTGAGAAGGCAGTGGACGATGACCCAAACCTGCCTGTTGTAGCATCTGGGGAGTGAACCAGCGGAGGGAAGACCTCTCTCTGTGTAGCTCTGCCTTTCAAATAAATAAATAAATCTTTAAATAAGAAAAGCCAAACCCAACCCCATACATCTAGTGTGCTCTGTACACATCATCCTACAATTTATACAGCTATTAACACTGATGGATTCCCTTACATAAGTAAATTTAAGGGTCTTTTTAGACATCCAACTTTTTTTAGTGAAGCATTTTTTCCAACTTATTTTTTTTCAAACACATAATGTATCCAGGTGATAAAAACGCAAAAGGCACACAGTGCAGTGTACAAAGAGTCTCCTTCCTGCCCATATCTCTCCTGCACCCAGCTTCTCTCACTGGAGGAAATCACTACTACCAGCCTCCCACAGGCAAAGCCCATCATGCTGCCTCTACTGACAGGCATGTGCGACCACCACCAGGGCTTACCTTGTACTTCTCATAGACGATTGGGACACTGAACACCAGCAGTTCCGCTGTAAGACATGATCATGGGCCATGTAAGTGTCTGTGAGGCGATCACAAAGGCTCCAGATGCAAAGCAACACGTTTTCCCTCATGAGATGCAGGAAAACAAATCTTTCCCCAAATAAGCAATCCTGGCTAGAGCTCCCATTAGGGCAAGTAGGTAAAGAGAGCTAATTTAGGGTACTACTTAAAAGCCCTCTAGGTTCACAGGTTGCCTTCTTTGTACCATACATAATTTCCAAGTTAAAAAAAAGGTTACTATAAATAAAATCCTCATATTTAAACCAAAATCTGGATAACTCTCCTTTTCTTTCAGCTGTCTGGATTTTTACTTATAATTGGAACCATTTAATAAGTCCATGACCACAAACACAGGTTCCTCCAGTATCTGTTTCAGAATCTCTGCATTTTAAAGGCTGGGCTGGGGCTGGTGTTACGGCCTAGTGGGTAAAGCCGCCGCCTGAGACTTCAGCATCCTGGCTACCTGGGGAGTGAAGCAGCAGATGGATACACCTTTCTCTGTAACTCTTCCAAATAAATTAAAAAAAAAAAAAAAAAAGGAGGAATGAGTGGAACCATGCTGGACATCTCTTCATTCTTATTTTTACAAATCACTTTAAAGGGCATGAAGATATTTTCCTTCCACCTTACCTAGAATCAGAAGGGTGATTCCATTAAAAACAGCACCAACATAGGTCATCAGCCACATGAAGACAGCCAGCTGTGAAGGCAAACGTCAGAGGGTTACATGGGAATAACCACAAGAAAAATTCAAGTTAACTCATTCCACTCGCCTCTAGTTCCTTAAGGCCGCACAGACACAGTGATACATGGCATAGGCAACTCCACAATGAAACCTTCCCCACTTGTACACATCTGAGTGGGTGAAAGAATTCTGTGGTTTTCTTAGGTCTGAAGACAGATGGCAACTGCCCCGCTGCCCATCATGTTACCACTGTTCGATGCCCACCCTCCAGGAGGGAGTACCTTTATTAATGCTCTTCATTTTTTTCTAAAGATTTATTTATTTATTTGAAAGGCAGAGTTACAGACTGAGGACAGACACAGAGGAGGGAGATCTTCCATCTGCTGGTTCACGCCCCAGATGGCTGTATCAATGGGGCTGGGCCAGGACAAAGCCAGGAGCCAGGAGCTTTCTCCAGGTTTCCCACACCATCGTCCACTGCCTTCCCAGGTGCATTAGCGGGGAGCTGGTCTGGAGGTGGAGCAGCTGGGATTCCGACTGGTGCCCACGTTGGATGCCAGTGCTGCAGGCCATGGCTTTAACCCACGGTGCCACAGCGCCGGCCCTTCCTCTGTTCATTTTTTACAGGCTAAGACAGTGTGTATTTGTTTTTGTCTGATAAAGCCGCATGTACTGTTTTCCTTCTGAATTATAACCTCGTCTCTGGTCTTGGGACTAAGAAAATGATATCCCAAAGTGAAAGCCTCAGAAGCGAGTTTCCTTCTGACCTTTGCTTTCTTGCCCCCTTTCTCCCTGACAAGGCAAGCCATGGGAACTAGAATTTTTTTCCCACAAGGTGGGGCAGACCCTAGAATCCTCTTCCCCAATGCCAGCCATAAAACTTAAGACAATTACTCTATTTTGCACCTTTCTTTCTCTCTTGGAGCTAGCAAGCCATAAAGGAGTTCTCTGATCGGGATGGGCATTTGGCGCAGTGGTGAAGATGTTGCTTGGCATGACTGCATCCCATGTCAAGAGTGCCTGGGTTTGAGGGGCCAGCGCCATGGCGCAGTGGGTTAATCCTCTGCCTGTGGCACGGGCATCCCAACGGGTGCTGGTTCTAGTCCCGGCTGCTCTTCCTCCAATCCAGCTCTCTGCTGTGGCCTGGGAGGGCAGTGGAAGATGGCCCAAGTGCTTGGGCCCCTGCACCCATGTGGGAGACTGGGAAGAAGCACCTGGCTCCTGGCTTCAGATCAGCGCAGCTCTGGCTGTTGCGGCCATTTGGGGAGTGAACCAATGGACAGAAGACTTTTCTGTCTGTCTCTCCCTCTGTCTGTAACTCTACCTCTTAAAAAAAAAAAAAAAAAAAAAAAAAAAAAGTTTATTTATTTATTTATAAGGCAGAGTTTACAGAGAGCCCTCCCCCATCACATACACGAGGCAGAGGCAGAGGCAGAGGCAGAGGCAGAGGCAGAGGCAGAGGCAGAGAGAGATCTTCCATCCACTGGTCCACTCCTCAAATGGCTGCAACAGCTGGAGCTGGCCATATCCAAAGCCAGGAGACAGGAGCTTCTTTAGGGTCCCATGTAGGTGCAGGGGCCCAAGGGTCTGGATGGAAGTGGAGCAGCCGAGACTTGAACCAGCTGCTTTATCCACTATGCCACAATGCCAGCCCTAGCTCTGCTTCTGATTCCAACTTCCTGTTAATACACACTCTAGGAGTCAGCAGGTGATAGCTCAAGGACTTTGGGCCCTGCTACACCCAAGGACCTGGACAGGGTTTCCAGCTCCCGAATTTGGCCTGCTTAATCCAGCTCTGGGCATTTGGGGAATAAACCAGTGGATGGAAGATGGAAGAGCTCTTTCTGACTTTCAAATAAATTGGTTATTTTTTAAAAACCTTCTGACCTTTGTTTAATAGGCCTTTTTTGGTCCAATCTCTTTACTCAACATAGCTGTCTCAGCTTCAGTGAACACAAGCATAAGGATGGAGAAACCATCCTGGGTCTCTCAGTCTTCATTCTGAAGGCTCCCATGTCACGAAAAACTATAATCAAATGCATCTGTCATGCTTCTGTCTTGTTGACCTTTTATTATAGAGGGGTTGGCCATAACCCTGCATGGGGGGCAGGAAACCTACCGAGTTTTCTCAGCAATACCACCAGAACCTGCATATGTGACTGACCTTCAAGGAGTCAACCAGATCTTCCACCAGGAAGAGACGAATGATGAGTTTCAGAGCCCTGTTGATGTGCACCATGGCGGCATTCATGTAATTGTGGAAGGCTTCTGAGGACAGGGTGATGTCCACATCCAGGTAGGCTCTTCCCAAGGAAGAAACAACAGTCACACGTTTGACACGGAAAAAGATTTTCTGTCAGCACAGCAGCCCTAGGCAGTGCTTTCCAGACCTGAAGGGACATTTCTGGCTGCCGTGGGAAGGAAATGCTACTGTCGGTTAGGAGGAAAGGAGGGCGGACGTCTGCATGGGACAGGACAGGCACGACGGCAACCAGCTGCCCTGCACTCTGTGGCACAGCTACCGCCTCAGGAAGGTGAACTGACTTACAGCTCAGAACCCAGAACACATACAGTCATTTTCTCCATATTTACAACACATCCTGAATTTTCTAAAAATATTTCTATGATAAAACTTAAATTAAATTTTTTTAAAATAAAGTTTTTTACTGTTTTGGAAAATTACATCTTATTGGTGATTATACATGCAGGTACAAGTTTATGACTTATTCATTATATATTTTTGGTATTGTCATGTCCAAGTAATTGAATACTGACTGAAACACCTTACAAATGCTTTCTGTTATCACATCTTTCTGTTATAATTGACCTATTTATTTAAAATGTAGATAGATTACACTACTTATGAATTTAATTTCTATATGAACTTCATTTCATACAGTTCTATATGATAAGGAGGCAGAACAACATTTGTTGACAAACCAGGAGGGTGGAGATGTGGGGTCTGACAGGTTCTGGAAACCACACCAAACCCGAGGCCCCAGTTCTGTCCCAGAGGTCCCATGCGCTGCTGACCTGCCCATACACTCAGCGTGTACTGGGTGCCTGCTGCCTGGCAGAGACTGCTCGGTGCTGGGATGTCAAACAGGTGAAGACTGTTTTTGCCTTAAGAGGCTCACAGTCTTGTGGGGAAACAGAATAGTGACAGACACACTTCCCTTCCGATCAAGAGAATATTTACTACCAACCAAAGAGTTTTAAAAACCAGAGGTTGTAGTTACTACAACTGAGTAGACAAACGTGGTTAAGCCTCCAGTGTCATGCAAAAGCGGGGGGGGGGGCATTAAGATACCTGCGCTTGCTGAAAAACACTATAATTTATTTGCTCATTCATTTGATAACTACTGATTTGTTAAAACTAATTGGCAATACATGTTCTTTCTTTCCTCCCAGAAACCTTTGATTTAAGGTATCCAAACTTCACGTCCAAACTTCACGCATTTCATAAATACAACTTCAGGAACACAGTGATTCTTCCCACCGTACCCACTCCCACCCTTCTCCCTCCTCCCTCTCCTGTTCCTATTCTTATTTTTTACTAAGATCCATTTTCAATTAACTTTATACACATAAGATCAACTATACACTAAGTAAAGAGTGCAACAAATTGTATGAAAAAATAAAACCTTGTTCCTGAACAGTCGAGGCAAGGGCTGTTCAAAGTCATCCCATCTTGCAGTGTCAATTTCACTTCTATAGATGACCTTTTAGGTGCTCTATTTTGCAATGTCACATATATGGTTTATGTTTATTTTCACCAAGAGAAAATACAAGGGCCAGAGCAGCAGCCAGAAACCTGTTCGGCTGTAGTCCTCAGAGGTCACAGGAGGGGTTCCTTCTCTGTGAAAAAGCCTTTTAAAAAACTGTCAACTGGACTGGTTGCTTTTTGTTGTGGAGTTTTTTAAGTTGCTGATGTATGCAGGATATTAATCTTTTGTTGGATAGGTGGTTCACAAATAAATGACCAACAAATATATGAAAAAATGATCAAAATCAGTAGCCATCAGACAAATGCAAATCAAAACCACAATGAGGTATCACCTCACCCCGGTCAGAATGGCTAAAATCCAGAAAGTAACAAATGCTGGCAAGGACACAAAGGGAAACACTTATTCACCATTGGTGGGAATGTAAATTAGGACAGCCACTGTGGAAAACAGTGTGGAGATTTCTTGAAAAACTAGGAACAGACTTGCCGTATGATCCAGGAATCCCACTCCTGTGTATATACCCAGAAGACTTGAACACAATGTATCAAGAGATACTTGAACTACAGTGTTTATAGCAGCACTGATCCCAATAGCTGAGATTTGGAACCAACAAGGCGTCCACCATCAGATGAATGGATAAGGAAAGTGTGGTTTATATACACAATGGAATACTATTCAGCCATAGAAAGACTGAAATTCTACCATTTGCAGCAAAATGGATGCAACTGGAGAACATTATGTTGAGTGATGTAAGCTGGACCCAGAAAGACAAATACTGCATGTTCTCCCCTATGTGTGGGAGCTAAAACTTAAAAACAAACAAACAAAAACAAAACAAAACAAAACAAAGAAATGTCTGTGTGATCCAGTATTGCTACAAATATAGTTTTGTAAAACCCTGTTTTATACCTTTGTCAAACCAATGGTTAAGAATATTATACTACTATAGTTTTAATGATCTGTGATTACTTTAAAATTTACTGTATATGGGTGACATGGTCATTTTTCCATTCAATTATTATTTATAGCCATTATCTATGTTCCCACTAAACTAAGGTCTTTTTGTTTTTTACTTGTTAAATCTCTTATTTGGTGAAGTAATAAACCTTTTCACTGTAACATAAATTTAAAATGTTACCTCAAAAACTAAATTAAAAAAAGGATAAGAAGGAGAGAGGAAGGGAATATAATTATGTTCTTAGAGTTGTTATCTACAAATATTGTGTGTTAAAAAACAATTAAAAATTAAAATAAAAGCATTAAAAAAAAACTCCATCAGCTGCTACTATAATGTAAACATTTTCTGTGGCCCAACATTCTGCAGAGGAAAAGCATGAAAAACACGTAATGTGAAAGTGAGAGCACACCCAGAGAAGCTAGAATCACATCTTAGACGTGCGGGACCCGCCGACCTGCCTGTGGTATCAAGCAAAGTAAAGCGCTAAGGAGAAAATGAGGAGGAAGACCAGGAGTAACCAGCCTGGGTTCCGGTACCACTAAGAGCAAGGCCTCAACAGCAAGATTTCAAAGTCGCTTCAAGACTTACCTATCTGGGGCATCCCCACGTGCCTGGGACGCCATCTGAGTGCTGTCCCTGGCGCTCTGCTTTCCCTACCCTGCCCAGAAATGTCAAGTCCTTTTTGGACTCGACATGTGAGTCTCTAGTTTGTCAAAAAGTTCTTACTTCCTAATTCAGCTGCTTCTAAGAAGACCTCAAGGTCTCTAACTGGGGGTTCACACCCCTGCTCAGCTGTACTGGACCCAGTAATTCTTCATGTGTAGCTAGGTCAAGTTTTGGACCTAATCAGCCTCAGCAAACCCCTCTGCTACAACATGCAGTGTCACTCGAGATACTCCAACTCACTTGAACGGATGGCCTTCTTCTGACTTCTGCACAGCTTGGATGACAGACTTGTAGACCCTGAAGCTGATGGTGACAGACAGAAGAGCCAGGATGAGGTAAGAAACCACACTGATAACGCTGAAGGCTGCCAGGGAGAGCAGCATGATCAGCGTGGTGCCAAAGACAAAGCCAGTCTTCTTCACGTCTCGCCAGAAAATCAGATCGTGCACTGCCAAAGGAAAAAGGAAAGGAGGTTATAAGAACAGCTGCCAGCCACCAGGCCAGGACTGCTCCCCAGCTCCGGGAGCACCGGGGCACAGATCCAGGCATATCTCACTTATCAAAGCTAAATTAAAATGCGCAAACTGGGATGTGGGCTACCCAGCTGGAGTTCCCAGCCCCTGGCCTCAGTCTGGCCTAGTCCTGGCTGTTGCAGGCAACTGGGAAGTGAAGGAAAACAGACCAGCCTCTATCAGCATCAGTTACAGCGAAACATCAGTTTCCGTGTTAGTCTGAGGAGAAGCCAGGAAGGATGATGGGTAGGAAATCATACAATTATCTAAACCATAATGCTTCTGAAAGTGAGGGCACTATTAACAATTACGTCAGGAAGTTGAATTTGCACTTCAGTCCATTAAAAGGACATGTCGGCACTAACAGCCCTACTGCGAGCTCCCTTACTTGGCCGAAGAAGGGCTTTGTAGCTAGAGACACAGGGGCTTGAGTTGTGGTATTTCTAACTACATCACTTTAACCTTCCCAAGCCTCCACATTCTTTTTTTTTTTTTTTTGACAGGCAGAGTGGACAGTGAGAGAGAGAGACAGAAAGGTCTTCCTTTTTCCGTTGGTTCACCCTCCAATGGCCTCTGCAGCCGGCGCACTGCGCTGATCCAAAGCCAGGAGCCAGGTGCTTCTCCTGATCTCCTGCGGGTGTAGGGCCCAAGCACCTGGGCCATCCTCCACTGCACTCCCTGGCCACAGCAGAGAGCTGGTCTGGAAGAGGGACAACCGGGACAGAATCCGGCGCCCCGACCGGGACTAGAACCCGGTGTGCCGGTGCCACAAGGCGGAGGATTAGCCTAGTGAGCCGCGCCCTCTGGGGCCGGCGCGTGGCGCAGCAGGTTAATCCTCCGCCTGTGGTGCCAGCATTCCATATAGGTGCTGGTTCTAGTCCAGGCTGCTCCTCTTCCAATCCATTTGGGGAGTGAACCAATGGATGGAGAACCTTTCTCTCTGTCTTTCCCTCTCACTATCTGAAACTCTACCTCTCAAATAAATAAAAATAAAATCTTAAAAAAGAAAACCCTCTAAAACCACTATCTGAAGCCTAGCCTTGGTGGAACCAAAGGAACTTAACTTGAGATCAAGAAAACACTAAGAAGACACCAACTGTATCAGAGCAACATCGCCGGCTGGAGACTCTGGTCAGGGAACACGACTTACTAAGAGAAGGAAGAGGTATTACGGTCCTGAAAGGAAACTGGGACCCAGCTAGTGATGCTGCAAAGGCGAGAGAAAACCGGGAGGCAGGGGAAGGCGCTGTGGTGCAGTGGGTTAAGCTGCTGCTTGGATGCCCAAATGCCATACTGAGTGCCAAGTCCCACCTCTGCTTATTTTTCTTTTCTTTTCTTTTCTTTTCTTTTCTTTTCTTTTCTTTTCTCTTTTTTCTTTTTTCTTTTTGACAGGCAGAGTTAGAGAGAGAGAGAGACAGTGACAGAGAGAAAGGTCTTCCTTTTCCGTTGGTTCACTCCCCAAATGGCCACTACGGCTGGCGCGCTGTGGCTGCCGATCCGAAAGCAGAAGCCAGGTGCTTCTCCTGGTCTCCCATGGGGTGCAGGGCCCAAGCACAGGGGCCATCCTCCACTGCACTCCCGGGCCACAGCAGAGAGCTGGCCTGGAAGAGGGGCAACCGGGACAGAACCGGGGCCCCGACTGGGACTAGAACCTGGGGTGCTGGCGCTGCAGGCGGAAGATTAGCCAAATGAGCCGCGGCGCCGGCTCCACCTCTGCTTCTGATCCAGCTTCCTGCTAATGTGTACCCTGGGAGGCAGCAAATGATGTCTTAAGTACCGGGGTCTCTACCACCCATGTGGGAGACCTGGATGAAATTCTTGGCTAATTTTTAAAAAAGATTTATTTACTTGAGAGGTAGAGTTACAGACAGAAAGAGGGAGAGAGAGAGAAAGGTCTTCCATCTGCTGGTTCACTCCCCAAATGGCTCCACCAGCCCAGGGCTGGGCCAGGCCAATGCCACAAGTCAGGAGTTTCTTCCAGGTCTCCCACATGGGTGCAGGTGCCCAAGCACTTGGGCCATCTTCTGCTTCCAGGCACCTTAGCAGGGAGCTGGATTGCAAGTGGAGCAGCTGGGAATTGAACAGGTGCCCTACATGAAACGCCAGCACTGCAGGCGGCAGCTTTACTCATCTTACCACAGCGCTGGCCCCTTAAATATCTGCTTATTTTCATCTACTTGAAAGTGTGAGTCTTGTTGCAGTTATTGGGGTTGTGTTTCCATTGCTGGGGTTGTGTTACAGTTGTTGGGGCCCTGTGACAGTTACTGGTGTGGTGTTACATCCAATTCTGGCTTTCTTTCATTGTTTTGGGTCCCTCAGCCGATTTTTGGCTTCTTAATCGGCAATTTCCTAAATTTTTTCTGGGTCTGAGTTTGTTTTGCCTTCTTCGTTTCCTGTGAGTGACTGGGGGTGAGGGCTGGAGCAGGAGAGTGATCTTCCAATCACTGGTTCACCCCCCACCACACGGCCACACCAGCCAGGGCTGGGCCAGGCTGAAACCAGGAGCCCAGAACTCCATCCTTGTCTCCCAGGTGTGGGGCCCAAGCCTTGGGCCGTCATCTGCTGCCTCCTAGGATGCATTAGCAGGAAGCTGGATTGAAAGCAGAATAGCCGGGACTTGAACCAGGTACCCTAAGATGGGATGCAGGTGACCCAAGCAGCGGCTTAACCCCAAGCACTATAATCCCCGCCCCATGGCTCCTGGTTTCAGAATCAGCAGGTTCACTGTGTGTCTGAGTCCCAGAACCATGTCAGAGTTCCGGGGCTACAAGAACCGTTTCAACACAGATTGCTGAGGGTCACTGTCATGATGCCCTGTGTCTTGGAGCTGAAACACTGAGCACCAGTATCACTTGGACAGCATTTCTACCTGAACCTTAGAACCTGAATCTCACGAGAAAATACCTAAGCAATTCAGCCAGGGAAACGGTCTAAAACACAGCTGACCTCTTCTCTTTAGAAATGTCAATGGTGTAAAACGCAAAGGCTGAAGGCCTTTTTTAGATTAAAGAAAGTAAGGAGAAATGGTAACATGTAAATGCAAAGTGTGATCCCAGACTGGATCCTGGATAAAGGGGTTAAAAATGTCTTTTTAGACACCCTGGGACAACTGAGAACATTTGAATGAGGCGGGAGTTAAGGACATGGGTAGTCATGGGGGTCAAGATGCGATCTGGGACGCCTGCATTCTGTATCTGAGTACTTGAGTTCCAGTCCAGCTCTGCCCCCAATTCTAGCTTCTGTGCACCTGGGAGGGTGGCAGGTGATGGCTCAAAGTAGTTGGGTCCCAGCTAGCCTCATAGGAGACATGGACTGCATTCCCAGCTCCTGTCTCCTGGTTATTACTGGTTTTGGGGGAGTGAAAAAGCAGATGGGAGATCTCTCTATCTTTCAAAGTAAATAATTAATCTCAAAAAATTTACAGGGGTAGAGAGGCTGGATATTTGTAACTAACTGTTAAATGAGTCACAAAAAAGCATGTTTCTATACTGGAGAGGAGGGGTGGATATAGCAGATAAGGTCAAAAGTTAACAAGTGGTAAAACAGAACAAAGTTGCATGGCTTTTATTTTTAATATAATATTTACAATTCTTTGAAATTATTTCAAGACAGAAAAGAAAGAAGAGAAAAGAAAGGAAAGAAAAAAGCTTACAGAACAAGGCTGGAGCCCAGAAACAAAAGGACCTTAATGTCTCAGAGAAGGAAAAAGGAATAAAGAAGACATACCTTAAACGCATATTAGAATTTTCTACTTTTGTGCAAATTAGAAAAAGCCACCCTGTCCCATGAACTTTACTGCCACCTGCTGGAAAATTTTTATAAGAAATACTCAAACCTACTAGGATGACACGTTGAGTAACATCCCCTAGAGGTGTGCAGTGTACAACCTGCACAACAGTATAGAAGGCTCTGGGCTCAGCGTTTTAAAGTAAATGGTGGAATTATAGTCTAGGTGAGAAGGGGGACTTAGGGAATGAAAGCAAACTGAGGAAGAGCTTGGAAAAGATGGTCCGACACATCCAACTTCACAGCTTGCTCCTTCACTTTATCCAGGTCCTGGTCAGGGGATATTTGCTCAGAGACGGACTGTCCTATCAAATACCCCTGCATTCTCATCACTGTCTCTTCAGAGCACCTATCAGCTGGGGCTGGCATTGTGGGACAGCGGGTTAAGCCACCACCTGTGACGCTGGCATCCCACGTGAGCACTGGTTCAACGCGCCTGGGAAGGCAGTGCAAGATGGCCAAGTAACTGAGGCCTTGCCACCTATGTGGGAGACCTGGATGGAGTTCCAGGCTCTTAGCTTCAGCTGGGCCCAGCACTGGCTCTTGTGGCCATTTGGGGAGTGAACCAGTGGGTGGAAGATCTCTCTCTCTCTCTGTGTACCTTTCCCTTTCAAATAAAATAATAAAAAAGGAACACCTTTCAGTTTATTTATTTGTTACAGGTTCATATATGTGTTAGTGAATGCTCAAACATGGGCCACACTAATGACCAAGTAGCAGCATAACCACAGCTTTCGGCTGTCTCCAGGTAATCCCTCTCAACCAATCTATGAGCTTGGAAGGATTCTGAGTTCAGAATGCCAAAGAAGGAAACTGACATGGTCTTTGGAAACTTCCTTTGCGATCCCCTGGGAAAGAGGAGGATAAAAATATGAGGAAGAAGCGAGGCAAGGGGCAGTTGCCAAAGTTTAAAACAAGAAGCCGTGAGGACTCAGTTCCGGCTCACTTCACAACCAGGAGTCCAACAAGAGACGGCAATCGTTCGCTTCCATGGGACTTTCCCTTTTCTACTTCCATTCATCTGTTCTGCTTTTCTTTTTTTCAGAGGTACAGAGAGGGACAGAGCTCCTACATTGTGGTTCACTTCCCAAATATCCACAATGGAGAATGCAATCCAGGTTTCCCATGTGGACTGCAGGAATCCAATCAG